ATTTTTAAGCATAATAAGTCGAATAATTCTAATCGTCAATTTCGAGGAATTACCTGTTCTGTGAGAATCTCACCGATGTAACAAAATATAAAAATATTGAAAGCCATAGATACGTATACGATAATATACGATGTTATTCTTGCGGCATCAAAATTACTCCAATTCTGAAAAATCAGAAATTAGATTTAACATTTCATAAATAAAGAAGTTAGTGAAGTGCTGATAGCATATATTCACCTTTTTAAGTCTTTAGCATACCGTAATAGAATAATATGCAAGTAAACACATATTCATCGTGCATCCCACCAATTCCACAAGACAGATGTTTTGCATGACATTCTCCATTCGTGATATAAAACTGAAAAGCATATACGTATATCCAACATATTTTTATATTTATCACAAAAAAACATGTTTGAATTTTGATGTCACACACTTTGCACATTTCTCACAACAAATATTACGAATATCGTAATATCGGTAATAACTAATATGTGATTAAATTGTGTCTTGTATGCTAAAGACGCACAAATGCAATTTAATTTTTATATTTAAGTAAAATACCTCAGTACTCTTAAATGATGCTCCACAATTGTGGCTAGCTTCTTTTCGGCAAAATTGTTTCCATTATCTTCGACTTCGACGAGATCATTTAACCAAGCGAACAGCATACTTAGCTGGCCGTAAGCATGCATTGCGAAAACTGCTGCGAGACTGCAAGCACCCACCGTAATCGAGTTCACTATAAAACACGACAGCAACTCCACAGCTAGCATGATCTCGTTCGCGGGGCTGAATCTTGTGTCTATAAATTTACTATATATCGGACAGGTCATCGGGTGCACCGACATAGTTTCGTTGCCGATCATTACATTCATGGATGTCATCGCCTTGGCCACAGTGAAGAGGAACGTTCCGCTCTGCATGAATATCGCACAGAATCCGGCGACGAAGCGACCGATCTTTGCGTATCGCAACATTACATCCTGATCGTCGTTCCTGCGAACCAGCCTCCAGTCCATCTCCATGTGGTGCACACATTTACGGATGTCATCGCTGCGCGTAAGAAGCAACCAATAATTAATTGTGCCCATGATCCAGTGGCTTAGCGGACCCATCGCGTTTAACTTCATCTGGACGTCTTTTTCTTCCAATGACACGTACAACATGCATGGTACCATAACAACTGCTATCAGGGATGAGCAAGCGAGAACGTGTGCTTGTAGGGAGATTCTCTCCACCGTTGTCGATGTGGTCGCTCGTGGCCAAGCTGCGATCGGCATCAGAAACCAACGGGTAAGTTGAAGACTGTAATCGTTATTACTTCTATACATGAATTTGATACTCGTCAATATACGCTCGGAATACATCGTAATCGCTTCGCGGATGCGCACGATGCACTGGCCACGTCGGACGGTGCACCTGTTAAAGCTACGTTCGAACGGGCGCGTGCGCGAATCTTTAGAGCGGTTTGAACAATAGGCGAAGTAATGTGCGCTTCCTGACAGAGACGCATGTCTGAGAATATGTGATCGATAATTGCTGCGGAAATACAGCGTTGACCTTTTGAACGGAGAAAATGCACGGAATTTTATATAATAGTGGCATAATATTGGTTCTGTTAATTTTCTTTTACTACTGTGTGTAAATATGTGAATCATAATATCATGTAATATGTAAGACATATTACTAAAGAACATCAGCATCTTATTTAATTGATATGATATTTCATACTCGCGAATCGACATATTTTCATTTTTGTTTATATTAAACGTTAATCTTTAATTTTGGGAAAGTTGGATGACATGCGACTTTATTGTTCGTTTAAATAGCGTAATTATAAAAATTGTACTGTGTTCAACATAATTTCTATTTATTAAATAGTTCTACTATATTATATACTACCAGTTCTATACAAAATATACTTTTTACTTTTTCTAATTTAATATAATTCACGCAGCGGATGACATCGTTCGCAACATATTCAAATATATCATGGAAGTTTTAACTACCTGAAACAGCAACGTCTTCCTTCCTATTTATGATATAAATTCAAAATCCGGAAAATTTTTAATTAAAATAAGTTCGAATTAATATGAGGGGGACACAAGAATAATTGAAATTCGAGTGCAGCATACAACTGGACGTAGTAAAGCGTTATGCCATTAGAGATCGTATGTTCTGGATTGACTGATTTCCTTTGTGTTTGAAAGCAAATTTATTTTTAAAAAAATTGTTATTAAAAAAAAAGAATAGAGAGTTTACCTGAAGCTTTGCTCTTTTGAAGGAAAATTTGCTGCTGAAACTGTTTCAATGCTTTGAAAAGCTCATAATAACAAGCTTTAAGTTGAATGTAAGTACGAAGAAGGTCCTAAAAATAATTAGAATTGTTTAATAAAATGTTTCATGACTTTTTATTTCTTCCTTGAAACATTAAAATATTTTTAACATATTTGTTTAAATATATAATAAATATTATTAAATATTATTTACAACATATTTGTTTAAAAGAAAACAAAATTTTACGTACATACTTTGTTCTTTTTTTATCAATTATAATAAAAATCATTGAATTTGCTTGCAAAGACAAAAAAAATTCATCGACTAAGAAATCCTGTATAGCACAAATCATTATAGCAACATTGCAGCATTATAACAATGTTCTTTTGCAAGTTTTCCTGTATGCGATCAGTCGATCAAGAATCACTTCACTTGATACACTTTTTCAAAATAGTTTCAACTTGCGACCCTTAATAACGTAACGAGTTACTACGTCTAGATGGCCGTACTCAAATTCCGATTATTTTTAATGCCTCTTCATGTATGATTTTATTAAACGGAAAAATGCAATCGATTTAGGAACGTTAATGATAATTTTGATAAATAATTATAAAGTAAGTACAATATATATCAATTTTTTATTAATGTAATTCTTGTTATAAATTTAAGTATATTACTTACATCACCGAAAGTTGCAATAGACATTTGAAATAACTTTCCAGCAGTTATTTTGATGACGTTACTCGATCGTGTTATTACCAATATAAGTCCAAGAGCAGTTTTGTGTGGTAATTCATACCAATTAATCATATATACTCTTTCGCCGACATTCTTGCACTAATAAATTTAAACTTTATCTTTTTATTGTTTAAAAACGTAAAAAATAGTCAAAGAAATATTACAAAATGCGAAAGTTAAATATAAATATAAACTTTCTTGAATAATTGTCAAATATTATCTTAACTTGGCTTTTCAACTATTACCTGTTCTGTGAGAATCTCACCGATGTAACAAAATATAAAAATATTGAAAGCGATAGATAGGTATATAATGACATATGATATTGTTTTTGCCATATCAAACGAGTCCATATTCTGTAAAACAAAAGTTTAAGATTTTTTAGATAATGAAAAACTTTTCTTTCAATATTCTATATTAAAGATTTAAATTTGATATTTTATAAGTAACTTCTTGATTTTTATAAGTAAGTACAAAATTACAGAATGTAATTATATCACATATTTACTTTTCACATTATTAGCGTACCGTAATAAAATAATATGCAAGTAAACACATATTCAGCGTACATCCCAGCAATTCCACGAGACAGATTTGTTGCATAATGGTTTCCATACGTGATATAAAACTAAAACGTGTGCAATTGTAGCATATGTGATATATATTTTTTTTTAATTTATAAGAAGAATGCTTATGTGAAATGTTAAATGTGTGGTATATCTGTGAATAATAGTTTAATAATATTTTGATGCAATCTTCGATATTTAAATAAAATACCTCAACACTCTCAAATGATGTTCCACGATAATAGTCAATCTTTGCTCGGCACTTTCATTTCCCTCTTCATCCACGAGGTCGTTTAACCATGAAAACAGCACGTCCAACTGACCATATGCGTGCATTGCAAAGACTGCGTCGAGGCTGCAAGCACCCACTGAGACAGAGTTCACTATAAAACACGATAACCACTCTACACCTATTATGATCTCATTCGTGGGACTGAATCTCGTATCGATAAACTTGGTATACATTGGGCAGGTCATCGGATGTATTAAGACAGTTTCATTGCCCACGATGACGATAGTGGTTGACAGCGATTTGGCTATAGCGAAGAGGAATGTGCCACTCTGCATGAACACCGCGCAAAATCCGGTGATGAAGCGACTGATCTTGGCCTGTCGTATCATTACCTGACGATCCTCGATTTTCCGAACATACCGCCAGTCCGTCTCCATATGCAACACGCACTGACGAATATCGTCGCTACGCGTAAGGAGTAAACAGTAATTAATCATACCCATCATCCAATGACTTAGCGGACCTGCGATGTTCAATTTGATATCGGTATCTTTTTCTTCCAGTAATACGTATAACAAACATGGCACCATAATGATCGCTATTAAAGACGCGCAAGTTAAAATGTGTATGTGCGAAAAGAGTCTCTTCACTTTTGTCGCCGTGCTCATTTGCGGCCAAGCACCGATTGGTATCAGAAACCAACGAGTCAGTTGAAGACTGTAATCATTATCGCTTTTATAGGAGAACTTGGTGCCTCTTGTTACATGATCGGAATATGTCATGATCATTTTGCGGAAGGCGCACGTGCACTGACTGCGACAAACGGTGCATCGGCTGGAGTTACGTTCTATCGAGCGCCTGCGCGAATCTTTAGCTGGAGCGGTTTGGTGAACGGATAGGGTGATGTACTTTGTGAGAGAGGCGCGTGCATGACTGATCAATAATTGTTCGCGGAAGTGCTGCGTTGATTTTTTGCGCGGAAAACGCGCCTTGAAGGCACTTACAATGTTTCAGCGATATTACAATATTATATTAAACAAATATGGAAAGTTACTTCAAATTGTGTATTGTGGTTTCACCTGCATTGCAGAGGAACCGCATCATCGTGATCTTGAGACTACTATGAATGTAACTTTATACGTAAATGAATTAATAATTAAATATAATATTTTTTAATATATAAATTTGTTATTTAAGTGTCTTTATTTAAAAATACTATGCAAGTAAATAAATATTGAGATTCTTCTAGATCACATGCAGATTCACATTGTAACAGTTCGTAACATATTTAGGTAAACGAGAGACGTTTTGATAACCTAAAATGACGAAGATGATTTAAAAAATTTAAAGAGAAATCTATTGAAAGAAAGATACTCACGTCACTGAAAGTTACGAGAGAAAGTTGAACCATTTTTCCAGCAGTTATTTTGATTACGACACTCGATCTTGATATAATTAGGATCAAACTCATGGCTGTTTTATGAGGTAAATGATACCAGTCGGTCATATATGCTATTTCGCCAACTTTTTTACACTAAGAAATATTGCATCGTTAAATATGCAAATGTTAATTTTGCGCCAGTAACATCGTCAGTTTTTTTACCTGTTGCGTTAAAATTTCACCTATGTAGCAAAATATAAAAATATTAAAACTCATGGATATGTATACGATAATGTACGCCACTATGCCCTTTCTGTCAATCTTATTCCACCACTGAAAGAATCATAATGTATGAAAGATAAGTTTCTTGAGATAAAAATTTTCAGATGGTACCAAAGTCTTATTAAATTAATTTCAACTACCTTTCTACTATATTCACCTTTTAAGATGATTAGCGTACCGTAATGGAGTAATATCCAAGCATACATAAGTTAAATGTGCATCCAAGTAATTCTACCAGACATATTTGATGCATAACGTCTTCGATGAACCCTATAAATCTAAAGTCAAAACTTAATACAATCAGTAAAAAAACTTTGGTAAATCTCAAAAAAATTTTTATTAAATATTTAGTTTATTAAATATTATTTAATATTAAGTTGACATGTATTATACATATATTGTATGATAAAATTTGAACAAACTTTATAATAAAAAATTTTATTATAAAGTTTTTTTTATTCAAAAGAAAGAATATTAATAGTCTGCAAATTAAAAAAAAATCATATGAAATACAAAATTATAATTTAACCATTTATGAAGTATTATTAAATATTAAATTGAGTAGAGGTTGACTTTTTGAAATAGTTTTTTTTTACATAAAAAAACATGTTTATATGTGTACATGTATATACATATACATAGATTTTTTAAAATTATATTTTATTATCTAGTATTTAAATCTAGTATTACCTTAGAACACGTAGATGGTGATCCACAATATTGACCAGCCTCCTATGGACCGATTCATGTTTTTCCACATCTTCACCTTCGACGAGCTTGCCTAGACGTAAGATCAAAATATCGAGTTGACCACACGCATGTATAGCGAAAACCGCAGCTAAACTGCAAGCGCTGACAGTGGTGGAGTTCACTATGAAACCTGACAGCATCTGTGTCATAAGAACAATCTCATTTGCCGGGCTGTATCTGGTATCTATTAATTTGTTGTAAAAGGCACAAGGTAATTGGAGCATCGAGACGCTTTGGTTGTCACCGATCGACACCATCACTGTCGTCATACCGGATACGATGTTGTAGGAAAACACGCCACCGTGCATGCATATTGCACAGAAACCTGCCACGAATCGGCCCAGCTTCGCGTTTCTCGTCATAATCTCGCGATCCCGCGATTGCTTCATAATCCGCCAATCCATTTCCATGTGTTGCATGCACTTACGTATGTCAGCGCTGCGCAGCAATAAAGAGCAATAATTCAATCCGCCCATGAACCAGTGGCTCAGCGGACCGGCTGCTCTTAGTTTTAGTTCGATATCTTTCTCTTCAAAAAAGACATTTAATGCGCACGGTATCACGGTGAAGGCTATCAAGAAGTAGCAGATGAATATCAAAATTCGAGACACAGCTTTCTCGTTGTTAGAAGTCGTGGGTTCTTGCGGCCACGCGCCTATTGGCTTTAAAAACCACCGATTCAACTGCACACTGTGATCGTGAAGATCTTTAGTCACCGACCGACACATGATTTCAACGTGACGGCACGACAGCTACTAATCGACTGTTGAAGACTGGCTTCCTAGTCGCTGTAGCGTCTGCGCGAGAGAAGAAGAATCCACCACAAATGTTTTGATCGATTGACCAGTGTCATCGGACTCGTCGCTTCAATAACGTCATTGCGAATGTTTCTATACGTTGACTCAATGAATCAAACAAAATCAAACAAAGTGCTCTGTATTAATCATTTTTCATACGCGACATACAATGTAATTTTTTAATTGATACATTTTATTGATTCATGGGTGGAAATACGTTGCGAGCGAGAAAGCGGAATTTCATGCTGATCGATAGTGCAACTTGTTGCTTTGTTCGCCCCCGGCGTCGCTTTCTGATGCATTCACAAAATATATTGTATTAAAAGAAAAAGAGCACAAAATAACAATTTTAATATTTTATGAACTTTGAAATGCATGTATCGAGTGAATTTTTATGTATTTATATTTCGTATGTTCTTTATATACATACATACTTTAATTCTTTATATACTATGATAATTTCGATGATTTCATAAAGACTTCATTATTATTGATAAGAAAAGTAGCATTATGTGTACTCAAAGCTTCGAATTATAATAGAATATAAGAATAATCTCCTATTGCTTATCTATTTAATTGACATCTATTTAGTATTTTCATATAATATATTACATTACAGTACGAAGTATATTTAGGTAGGCTACAGAAGTTTTAATTACCTAGAAAGAAACAACAAATAAAATAAGATAAATTTTGTGAAAGATTTTTGTCAATATGATTCTTTTTTTTGAAGCTTTATTACGTTAAATTTTTTTTTTTAAACAAAAAATGTATAAATATTTATAATACATGCTATGCAAAAACACAATAAAAGATAGGTATTGAAGAAAACAAAGCCTCATTTTTTATCATAAAAATATTTGGTGTTGCATCTATACTTACATCGCCAAATGTCATTAAGGAGAGATGAATCAATTTTCCAGCAGTAATTTTAATTATAACACGGGATCTCGATATTATCAGCACTATATCGAGGGCAGTTTTATGAGGTAAATAGTACCAGTTGGTAAAGTAAGCCATTTCGCCAACTTTTCTACACTGCAGTAATTTTATATTAAATACAACGAGAATATTTTTGTGCAGAATAATGAATCAGTAATATTTTAAATATTTTTACTATATTCCAAAACACAAGCAGTTTTGTGGTTCACTTGCACGCGTTACCTGCTCCGTGATTATTTCACCGATATAACAAAATATAAAGATATTGAAAGATATAGATACGAAAAGAATACCATATGTTGTTATAGTCTTCGTGTTTTTTTCATCCCATTCCTGAAATTATAAAACAAATTATAAAAAGAAACAAAAATATTTTTCTAAAAAAAGAGTACATTCCTTCAAAAGGTATATGTATATTTGTATTAAAAAAAATTTTTATTAATTATATTTTTATCATACCTTAATCGAACAGTAACCAAGCAAGCACAAATTCAAAGTGCATCCAAATAATTGCACCATGCATATTTGATTCATGATTTTTTCAAAGCGTGATATAAAACTAAAAATATCATAATTTTCTCAAATTTTAAGATTGATTTACATTTGATATTGCAATTATTACAAATACCTTACTATAACTGGATTAGTGATACCTTACTTTAGTACACGTAGATGATGCTCGATTATGTTTGCCAATTTATTCTCGGCGGTTCGTTTTTCCTCGTCTGTCAATTCATTCAACCACGTGTAGAGCACGGCGAATTGGCCGCACACATGCATTGCGAAAACCCCAGCAAGACTGCAAGCACTGACCGTGATAGAATTAGCTATGAAACCTGACAGGAATTGTATCATTAGCACGATCTCATTCGTCGGATCGTGGCTGGTATCCAGCAGCTTGCTGTAAAACGGACAAGGCAATCGTCGCACCGAAACAGTTTCATTGCCGACCACGATGATTATCGGCGTTAAACTGTTCACTACACTGTACGAGAATACACCACAGTGCAGAAAAACGGCGCAAAATGCGGCCATAGATCGGCCGAATTTGGCGTATCTTAGCATCGCTCCGCGATCCACATTTCGCACCATGCACCAATCTTTCTCCATATGCTGGATGCAGCAACGTATGTCTTTGCCGCGCCATAGCAGAGAACTATAATTTAATGAGCTCATAATCCAATGGCTTACGGGACCTACTAATCTCATCTTGGTATCGAGATCCTGTTCCTCAAGATAGAAGTACATCATGCTAGGAATAATCGTGAAAGCTATGAGGGCGTAGCATATTATTTGGATAATTTTCAACAGGAGTCTCTCGCTAATTGTGGTAACACGCGATTCTGGCCAGGCGCCGATTGGTTTTAGAAACCAACGATTCAATTGCAGACTATAATCGTGATGTTCATTACGGCGATACGAAACCGATGTTGGTGTATCAGATGCGATCGTCATGGTCGTTCTTTGAAAGCGCGCAAAATACTAACCATTTTCTCCGTATTATCCCGTTTCTCAGTAGAAGTCAATATTACTATTGCGCAGGTCTTCATTCAGAGTTACGTGCAAGAGGCGGACCATTGTGCTAATCGATAACCACTACTTGTTGCACCGTCAGTTGCAAGTAAGGATATGTAGATAATATGCAAACTGTGACGCGTGCAGTACACATTTTGCTTCATAAGTGAGCGTATAGAATCATGAATTACTTAACTTGCATTGTACTTGTAAAATTAATTTTTTCTATCGCACATTTTTTAAATACTAACTAAAGATCTATAAAACACACAAATGAAAAGATTGTTGTAATATTACAAGTTGTAATATTACAAAAATCTACTATTAAAATGCACATTATGCATAACTTTTATGTGTATAATACAAAGTATAATAATTTTATGTAAAATATTTATTATGTGATATATATATTTACGTTTATATGATATTTACATATCATATAAACTTTACATGGTTAAAGTTTTAAACGATATATACTAATTTCAAATAAATTCAAGTTAATAATTATTTACACATTCGATCATTTCCTTAAAAATGTTTAAAAATAGTGCAAATGTTTATAATGATAAATTATACAGCAATCTTGCCTTAATGCTTACAGATAACGCTCGACCAGAGCCAATTTCTCTGACGTTTTTTTCTTGTTTCTTCTTAAGAAACTTTCCAGTTCTATAAGCCGCAACATTACCAAATTGCGTATGTCGCGAATAATACGACCAAACCATGCTTGACCTTTATCATGCACCATGATGTTCATGATAAAGGACGAAAGGCTGTAGCATAGGATCACATATAGGTTAAAGGAGGCATGTTTTTTATGAATTTTAGTTCTCGGTTAAATCTTTTCATATTTTGGAAAATTGTAATTCCTCCAAGTGTCCTGATTAAAAATGTCAATGGGCGCGACATCCTAAAATTAACAATTTTCGAGATATAATTGTTCAAGCTTAGTTAATTTTTATTTCGGATATTGGGCGATATAAACAATCTTCCTACATGATCCTACACACTTGAAAAAAAATATCTAAATGAACATTATAACATGCGAAATAAGACTGTCGTAGTTGCATTTCGCTTCGCAATCTTAATTGTGGCTAAAAATAAACAATAAGTAATGTCATATCAATAAAGTTAATGTGCATACAATTTCCGACCTTTAACATTACCCAAGTTGAGTAGCAGTGAGAAGAATCGTGTGAAACGTGCTCTGTTGACTCAAATCGGTACAATGGTCATTGGAAAAATTCAGACTCTATTGATAATTTTATTATTATTTTACTTATTTTTATCATTATTTTACTTATTATTTTTATAATTATTTTACTTATTATCATTTTTAGCCACAACTGAGATCGCGAAGCGCAATGCAATTATGGAAGCCTTATTACGCATGTTAAGATTCATCTATTTTAAGCTGTATTTTTTTAAGCTGTAAGATTATGTGGGATCGAAATTGTTTATATCGCCCAATATCCGAAATAGAATTAACTATTTATTATATCTCGAAAATTTCAGGAGACTATTGATTGTGACTATTGACACTTTTAATCAGGACCTGGAACTACAATTTCCTAAAATATGAGAAGATTTGACCGAGAATCAAAATTCATAAGAAATGTGCGGATAAAATTAGTGTCCTTTATGTCCAAATCATATTGAAGAATGCATTAAATGACTTATTGCGTTTCATTGCCGATTACCACGTATCGGTGATATTTCCCTCGTTACATTGTAACAAAAAAATACCACCTTGCATAATGATGAATACTTAAGAGAGCCATCTATATTACCGACTAAATCATATAATTTTTATATAACAAATGTAATCTTTTTCTCTTTCACAGATTTCGAAAATCCTCCAGGATTAAAGCATATTCATTAATACGTGTTCATGAGGTGGAGATGAGTTGTATGCTGAGAACGATCAAAAATTTTGAAATTGATATATTTTTTATCATTTTATAGTATAATATGATATCTCAAGCAGTCAAGTCGCAACAACATTTGCTTGAAAGTTTTGCAACCTGTACTTACGAAATTCACACGTAGTTTGCACGAACAAATAACGTAAAGTTCTTAGAATTAAACTTAGACGCTTTATCACAATGAATATGTTACACGAAAATTGACACGAATGTGTCAATAACATATCATATACGCGACTGCGTGTATCATAGGTTACGTGAGATTTGGTATATAAAGACATGTCGGTGGGCTAAAAAAAACATCGACCTCTGGTGACTTTGTCGAAATTCGAGCTTCGCTTTAGGATCCTCTTAAACGCTTGCTATATTGCGTCTTCCTCTAGCGTGTCTCATTATGTCTTAATGCTCTTTCCTCACGATCTCTTCCATTTGCTAATCAATCTCCACATGTTCAATAAATTTACATATCTGACCTTTTAACACAAATACGAGCAATAATTTATATCACCCTAATAACCCAGTGATTTGGTTTTAGGTTCCACGGCCTACAGTTTTAAACGAACATCTTTCTCTTCCAGAAGAATGTACCATATAGAGAGTATCACTGTGAGAGTTATCAAGGAGCGACTAAGAGCGTTAATTTCAAAGTTTTCGATAAAATCTTCTCGATCATCAAACTCTAAACATCTACTGATTTCAAGATAGAACAATTTAGTTGAAGGTTATAAATTATTATTTTACCTGTAAACGTGTATTTTGAACGGCTACCGAAAAAACGCATTGTACTTTATTCGTGGAGAACGCTCAATCACTAGTCTTTACCATTGCCTGTCAAGTAGTTACGGCAGCAAGTGTGCGAACATATGACTTATTCCTGAGAGAAAGTATGTTGCTGTGTCGGCTGACCGTGCACAATCGATATTTACAGTATAACTTGTTGCATA